TGTAATTACACATATTGGCCTTAGGCCCTAATTATTTTTATTTGATACTCTATTAATTTATTTATTTATTTTGTCTTGTCAGGGTCAAACTGAGTCAAACTCAGCTTCTATTTTTTTTATTCCAATTAATAAATATTGATGTTGGCCTAATTTATATATTTACATTATATTTTGATTATCAAATTATAAATTGTAATAATGTTACTCGAAATGAAATGAAAAAAAAGTTTCAACAAGACTTGAAAGCTTGAACTGTGAAACGATGTCGTTCTGCTAACCTATTTGTGCTAGAAAAAAGTGTATATTACAACAATGTAAACCAAGTATAATTCGAACATTTTGTACTACCGTTTACTTGTTTTCTCAATTACATTTTTTATATTTTAATTGTTTTTGTTTACTTGTTTTATTTTTTCTTTTATTCATACTTGCTGTCTTGTCTAATTCTTATCTCACACAAAATTATATATGAATGATAATGAATTATCGTATCTTCTATTCTTTAATCACTCATTTGAGGAAAACCATAATAATGACTTAAAAACCAATTGGTCCACTGATTGTATTTAGACAATATAATATCATGCAGACTCCAAAAAGACTAAGAGAAGCCATGATTCAATATTTCGCTCTTTATTCGAACTTTATTAGGAATGAAAAATAATTTTGTCCATAGGGACCATATAGCAGAATTGAAGTAACTAACCAATCAAAAGCAAGAAACCGGTAGAATTGACCAGTCAAGGCAAACAAGGTGTGACATATTATTAATGAATTAACAGCATACCTTAAAACAAAATATATCTTGATAAAGTATGAACACAATGTTAATATGAATAAATAAATAAATAAACTAGATGTTAATAGCTAGTTGAACAACGCAAGTTCTTTGGATGCTCTTAATCCAACATTTAAACATGCTTTATAGCGCCTAATAGCCAGGACTTTTTTTAAATAATAATTCAGACCAATGTCTAGAGAAGTTAATAACATTAGCCTTATTGGATATTAAAGAATGATAATTAGAACCCTGAGCATCATCATAATCACCATTATTAGGTAAATTATGCATATAATATGTTAAAAACCATCACATGAACTTATGTGGTCAATATAACACTATAAGGTACTGTTGAATCTTCTTTTATTCTAATTGTTAGACATTTGTCTGTTTTCCCAATATAAGTTTTATTGCAGCCAGGACATTTGAAATGGTAGACAACAGAACTACCGTATTCTTTAGGCGTTAGGTCTTTAGTTGAAACAAAGTTTAAAATTTTCTTAGATTGACAAATTGTTATGAATTTAACATCCTTAACTAGGTGTCTCTTGACTTTCTTTAGATACCTGTACACAATTGATTGTCCCCCTTTGCCAGTATATAAAAGTCTTACTCATATTTTAATATCATCATTAGGAGGTGCAGGAATTTGTGTTGTTTTAGTTAGATTATGTTTAAGGTTATGGAGAATATGGTTAGTTACTTTCAATGGGAACCCATTCCATGACATATACTGTTTAATTGTGTTGATTTCATTATTTTAAAGTAATGAACTAAATTGTAACACTTCTGAAACTACTTTTAATCCTTTTGTTGACAGTGATAATAGATATGATGATAAGGTTGATATGCTAACTAATCACCTTAACACCAGATCTACTATACTTGATTAAAATGTAAATACTATGATATAACAGAATTTTACACCCGGCGTGCCACACTAAAAAATTCAAATTATCTTTATTACATCTAAACATTCGGAGTCTCGTTAACAAAATTGACGCATTTGAAAGTCTTCTGAATACATATCATATTAAGTTTTTAGTAATAGGGCTATCGGAGACCTCGCTAAATTAGAATAAACCGTTTCTGTTTTTACATGAGTATACCTTTTTTTTGCAGGAAATAGACAATCTAACTTAGGAAGAGGGGTGGGAATATTTATTCGCAGTGAATTTAATGTTCGTCTTCGTACTGATCTCGCGCTTCTTAAAGAATTTAGTGATTCTATATTTATTGAAATAATACTTCATACAAAAACAACATAATCATTGGCACTGTATATAAACCTCCTGATACTAATATAAATAGTTTCTCTAAATGCATAGATTAAGTACTAACTACAATTATTATGGAAAACAAAATATACAAACTAATGGGAAATTTTAATATTGATTTGATTAAATTCTATAATCATAAAGTAACAAATGCTTACTTATTTTTTCTCATTCATTCTATCCAACTGTTTCCAAAGCAACTCGCATTACTACTAACACTGCAACACTAATAGACCACTTCTACACTAACCAAACTGAAAGTATAGTGTCTGGTGTTCTAGTTTCTGATATCACTGATCATTTGCCCATTTTCCAGTTTATTGATAATGATTTTGACAAATTGAAAACCCAGGAATGCTCTTCTTTTGTTGTTAACGATATGAATCCTTTTTGTAATAATTTATATTTACAATAGTGACCCAAAATTCTCTTTTGAGACCTTTATTGACAAATTTCTTTCTATTCATAATAAACATTTAAACTTCAAAATGTTTCAATACACAAAAGGTCAACTTCCAACCTCTATATTAGCATTATTTTACGTTTCTAAATATACACATAGTTATTAATTAAAAAAGCAACTCTAATTAACTTTACATTCCTTTTGTAAAACTGAGTAAAATTCATTTATTTATTTCTGCATACGGACCGAAATTATGGAATGCTACTAATGATAAGTGTATATGATAAGTTCTTACGTCTGTAAGTTTATATCTTACT